TTTTTCTCTACGAATACGTTGCGGTCGTCGTTATTTATTATTATTATTATTTAATGTGTATCTTTTTGTGAGTATCGTTATATTATATGCGACGGCGACGAGATGGTTTCGTCGTATCTCCACGACTGCGGTCCGTGACACGTTATATTATTTTTATATTCCGACAGTGTTTCGTTATCAGCCGAAAACTGACACATTTCCCTAAGTACTTACCTATACTCTCCATCATACTACATAGACACAATACAATTTTTTTAATACCATCGGATTAGTATACTTTTTTCTTTCAATGGTTGATGTGATTTTATTAATCAGAATATTGTAGACTGTGCTAGTATTATGACAGAATAAAGAGATTTTTTTCCATCCATCGTGAATGTGCGATTATAAATGTATTTTCAATTACTGTTAATAGGTATAGGTATTTAGTTCTAATCCTACGAGTTGAAATGATTCATTGCTTATTAAAATGAAAACAATATAATAGTCAACACAGTTAACCTAACCTAACCTATATAAGTACACATGTCTAGTATTTTATATATAGGTAGATACGAAAAAGCAGCGAGAATATCAATGAGATTTTGTTTCCAACATACAGTGTACTTTTACATAATATTATATTACAAAACAACTACTGGGACTTGAGTGACTTGTGATTTCACGATCATTGCAACACAAAATTACCACAACACAACGAACTCTCGATGGAAAAAAAAAATAGCGAACACTGTATAATATTACGGGGTGCGGTTTTATCGGGAGACCCGGGTCTCGTCGGAAATGAAAAAAAAACCGACGAAATCCGCCGAAAACGTCTATCACGCGAAAACAAGACTTCCTATAGCTATATCAGATTTAGGACCGCCCTTGTGAAAAAAAAATTCCATCGCGAGCAGCTGCGTTTGTAAACGATCGTATTGTTTATGTCATTATATGTATATTATATTATTATAATATGCGTTCTCGCCGCGAGTTGTCCGCAGACGACCGGGCATCGGACTCGGACAGTTTTACAATCTCTCTCTCCCGACTGGGACGCTGTTTGGAATAAATAAAAAATGAAAAAACGGTCATCCGTCCATCAGTCGACTTTGAATAATATTATAAACAAGCTCGCCGCTCGCCCTTATGTATTATAAATTTATAACGCGACACCAAACACACACACGCGTAATACGACCACCTCATCGTATATCATATACATTATAAACAGCCAATAACAAATAATTACACGTACACCGGTCCGGCACAATAACGGTCGTTATAATACTACACGTCGCGTCGTCGTCTTCGTCGTTCACCTCGCATTATTATAATATTCCAATGCATACGAAGGTATAATATTATAACATTACGTACTATATGCACCCGTATAAAATGGGTGCAGACGTGCAGTTGTATAATAGGTGTATACAGGCCGTGTTTATTGTTCGTATAGATCACCGCGAGTGCGGTCGCACTTTAAAAATAATAGTAATAATATATTATTATAACAATAATACTACCGCCGAGTACAGCGCACAGTAGTGCACTACTGCACTGCTCTTCCGGACCGCGACTTGGACGTCGCCAACGGGCCAACGATGACCAGACGTCGACTAGACGACGACCAGACGACGACGATGGCACCCCGTCGCGCGACGACGTCGCGGTCGTTTACCGTATACCGCGTTCATGACGAGAAACCGATAAAAATGCAACAAACAAGCGCGGCTATTCGATACACCCGATCGACGTCGAACCTACACGCCAAACGAATAAATCACGAACGCAATAATAATAACAACACATAAACCACCTACCGATATTGTACACGGCGGCGGCTGCGTGTTGTTCGTATCGGCGCGAAATCTTGTTAAACACGCGACCCGGTGCGTTACAAAAGCGAGGGTGGCCGCGCATCGTATGATATACATACATATATATACCAACCCCCGGACACGACAATAATAATAATAATAAATAATAATAATAGATATAATGTTATATGTGTATGTATACACGTGTGGGGGTTACCTATATTATATTATTATTATATTGTGTACATATTATATTATTATATACGTGCGATCGCGTACAATAGAAGACGGACGGGCACGTGCTATCGCGTCCCGTGCGCCGCCGCCCGTTGTCTCTCGGCGAGGGGGGAGGACGAAAAACGACTCACGTGGGCGGCACGAGTCTCGGCGGCGCGCGGTCCGGCGACGGACCGACGGACGTCACCCTCTCGTCTCCGCGCACACGTCGACCGGTCGACGAAAGAAAATCGTTTTTATTATCATTGTTATTGTTATTGTTATTAATATCATTTTTTCTCGTCGTCACTCTTTTACGTGCGAGTCAAACTCGAGACGGCGTCGGACGTGAGTCAATGTGTGTCCGCCGCTGCCACCTCCGCCGCATTTCGGTCGGTTTTTCCGCGCTTCTCGACCAAAAATAATAATATTATAATCGATTTCGTAACGGTTTTGTGTACGCGTCACCTTTTCCGACGGCTCGCGCGCGCGAGCTATGTAGCCCATAATAATAATACTGTACGTGTGTGTAGGTACCGCCGATGACGATAACACCTATTGATATTTTATATCATTTTATACACTGGTGCTTGGCGTACTACCTGCACAGTGGATAATGGGGGAAAAAAAAAATAACGATTATTATTAATAAACCTATATACTTACGTGCGATATATATTTTTTTTTACGATTTCATTATTGTTATAATATGCGTGTATTATAGTAATACGACGATACACGCGCGCGCGTGTAACCCACCGCTCGCCGTCGTTCCATCGGTCGGTTTATTCGCTCGCGCGTGTCCTATTATCTACGAAAATGAAATTTCGAAGACGATAACTTGCGTTTTTCGATTTTATTTTTTCAAACGTCATAGATCTGCGAGATGGGACACGTCGGAGGCAATCTTGATGGGGCTGCTATTTTCATGTTTATACCTTGTAGGTTAGAGATTGGGTAAGGTTTAAACCGCGTTCCGTCTCGGCAGTTACTACCAACAGTACCACCCGACGATAATAATTGGTGATTCAACGTTCGGTATCTATCGATTATCGTCCACAAACGGATCACCAGAAACGCAAAAACAATTTTTAAAAATTTGAAGTATTTATGGACAACACAATTAATAGGGAAACTATTTGAAACACCGATAATAGTAATATGTTCATAATAGAGCCACCGATTCCGTGTATAATATGAAATGATTATTTTTAACTTTAGGTGGCAAAGGATAAGCAGAGTTATGCGATTCAACGCGCTGTGGTCGTGCTGTTGTTTTGAGCACGGCACGTGCGACACTCGCCCTTCCATGTTGTAACTCAACTGCGACGTTAATAATATTACAGAGCTATTATTATCGCGCCGTCGTCGAACCAGGACAAAATCGATAGGATCAACACGGTGCGTGTGAGCGTTCTCCGCGGAATGTGATTATTGTAGAGTTGGCGAATTTATGTAGTTTAGGAAAACAAGGCGTATATTATTATGACGATGATGATGTGCCCTGCGGCGACTTATCACTTAATATTATCCTTAAGGACGTGTACGGGACGCCTCCATCGAATTTTCCTACCGGGAACATTACTGGGAAATCCGTTATCTGTACACACACGTGGCTCGTCGTTGTGTTTCGTACGTCACGAAGACAACGATCACACCGTCGGCTTATCCGAAGTCATTTACACACACACACACACACAAAGATATTATTGCTATTGCTATTATTATTTGATAATATTATCGAGTTGCTTGTCGTTTACAACGCAATCCTCGTACATCCCGACGAACCGGAGGAAATGATGATTTAATGCTGAGACGAACAACAGCGGTGGCGACGGTAAATTTCACAGACTATTCGACCGCGAACATGCGAAACACCGATCGTTGCGGATAAAATCCAATAACTATATATGTATAATTATTATACACGATATCAATATTACAACCTGTGTTAGAGGTGGTAATCGATAAAACGGTTGAGTAATAGCCAGGGAAAATATTAATCGCACGAGATTGCCTTGGCATCGGCCATTTTTATACAATACGCGTACGGACTCGGAGGAGATAACGTCCCGAACGAAATAACTAATAAAACTCGAAAAATATCTCTCTGCCCTACCATAGTCGTTGGTTAGCTCGCTCGTCCTAATCGTATTCCACATTCACACATAAACATAATAATACATAATATAATAATAATATACGCAATAGGCGTATCGCGTACCTACTAAAAACATAATAACATGGGCGACAGACAATCTAATAATCTATGCGGTTGTTACGTCAATAAGTTATTTTTAGACTTCGGCGCGTGGCGACTTTGATAACTGTGTTCTAGTTAATCGCACGACAGGTTTGTGCGGGGGAGGGGTGTTCGATACCGGTGCAACTGGTGGTGTTTAGAGAGGGGTGCAGGGGACCTCCTAGAACACGATCCGGTTCTCCTAAATTTATCTGTTGAAATATTTTTCCGAGAAAAACCGATTCGCCGGTCGACTGAATATTATTATTCGCAACCATATTATTGCCACGCGATGATAATAATAACGACGGGCAGCATGAGTAATCGTCAAACATAATAAATATTATATTATATCATATTTTAAATGAATCAATGTTAAGTGGCGAGTGCGAGTCCCTCGTCAACGCGATCGGTCCATTAAATATTAGCAGCTCCGTTAAAAAATAAACGGACAATATTATGATTATCGCCGCACAAAAACAGCATTGGCAAGAAAAACGATAATCGCGCGTAATAATATTATTATCGTCATCGTGAAATTTTCGGGGAGGTCGCGTTCGTCGTCGACGCGCCAACGCGTCGACGGTGGCGGAGGCGGCGGAGGTGGCTATCGTTTCGTGTCCGTTCGTGCGCGGTCGGCGGCGGCGGTGCGCGTGTGTGCGCGCCGGACGTCACGAGTGCGCCAGGTATAGGTCGGCGACGTGATCGCGGAGCTCTCCGGCCAGCCAGTGGCGGTCCGGACGTTCGTCGTGTGTCATCTTCACGAGTGTACGCGTCCCGCGCAACGATCACGTGTCTCACGATCGAGTTTTACAACGCCGCCGAGCCCGATCAACACGCGCCCGCTAGTTTATTTTTTTTCATCTGATACAAAAATATTGTATAATATTATTATTATTACCGCCATCGACGTTTATATTTCATACATCATTTTTTTTTTTTTTTCATTTCATATTTCGCACAGTCGCCGTGTTTCCGCCGCCGCTGTACGTAAACGCGAACACACACGCACATGATAATATAAAATATTATTATAGTGTTATCAAGACGATTTTTTTCTCGATCGCGGAGTAAATCGGATTTGTGTGCGGTCTTTCTAGTTGTGCATTTTTTTGCTCCTCTCTAGTAACAATACCATAATATCGTATTATTATAAATATAATCCGATACGACGAGATAATAATATTATCGTACCTTACGCGTAGTTGTTGTGACTTTCCGTAATAATAATATTATTATCGACAATGTACGCCGAACGTCGTGAAGTTTCGTCCCCGTGCTCTCGAAAATCGCACGTTTTCTGCTGTCACCGGATTCGTGTCGTCAATAAATAACAGGGAAGAAAACCCAGATTTCAACAGGTCAGAATCGTTTTTATCTTTAAAATATAATATTGTTGTGGGTATAATAATTAATAACTATCATTGTTGTTGTCGTTTTCGCCGTGAAAAGATTTACCGGTGTTCTAACGCTCGCACATTATCGCATATAATATTATTCATCCCAGTGTTGTTATTATTATTTAATGATAATATTTACGTGGTATTTTTTTTTCTACCACTATAGCGTTGTTATTATTATTATTACTATTTTTGTTTATTCAAAACAATTTACGCCCGGCATTCCGACGGTTTCGGCAAATGTATACGACTTAGCTGGTATGTGTGTGTGTCTGCGCACATGTAGGTATATTTCATTATTTGATTACGCGTCGGAAAAATGTATAAACTTTACGATTGATATTATTACGGTCAAGACGTTTTTCGTTACTCGAGACACTTTAATAACACGTTGATTTTTCGAAATTCATACGTCCTATGTAATTATCGAGCTAGTACAGTAGTGTATGTGGAGTGTGTGTGTGCGTGAAGTGTCGAACAAGGGCTTCAATTAAATTTCGACCTATTACTAATAAATCAAGTTCATAGGAAAACCGGTGATTATTGTAATGAGAAACCCATTAGTGACCGATGAATTCGAAAAACCGATTGTCCATGTATATAATATGGTAATGCAAAGCCGTTGTCTATCGTGTTTCGGTGTGGTCAAAATTCTTCTTTATATTATTATATTGTAGTTGAGCGTATAAGTGTTGTCGTCGATGTCCTAATCGCGTTTTAATTAGGCACGGACGTTCAGAATAGCCTGGATAAAGCGATGAGTGAAATAAGAAACATTATATAGTTTGTTTGAATGGCACATCCGGTAGAAAATGCTTTAGTGCAAAAATATAGTTACCCCTCCACACCAGATTAATCGCACCCGTGTTCGTCGTGAATTTCGCCCGAACGATGAAATTCAATTCCGGACATAAATTTCACAAGGCGAATGTTGTAGTAATAATAAAAATATTCATTGTTAAAAAAAATTATAAATATTACATAATTGGCATATATTTGAAAAATTAAAATTGATTTGTATGAAAAAATATTTTTCCATAGACTTCATTTAAAAATGTTCGTAATTTTTACAAATTGGTTATGCTATAGTAGCTAGGTATTCAAAAATCTATAAATAAACAAAAATAATTGGTACAAATCGTAGGTAATATGAGCTTGACATTGTCGTGTAAACTTTAAAGCTTATAAATTAATAAAATTAATTTGACGTAGGTATACTTATTATACTTACAAATTCCCTATACGGTTATACTTAAAATAATGTATAAATGAATCGTATGGTTTTATGTTAGGTATGTTTATTAAACAAATCGTTTACGGGCGACATCAAGTTTAATAGCGCGCTGGGCACTATTTTACGATCAAAATTTATTATTTTATAATTTTTATTATCTAAAAGAGAATGTTTTTTTTTTTTATTGTCATGTCCCCCGGGAAAAATAAAATCGACATATTATGAAAAATATTACCATTTTTTATATACATAATATACTATATGACGTATAGAATAATTATATGCATAAAATGTAAGTTAAAATTTTAATTATGGTGATGAAAATAAAACTTAAGAAAATCCTAAGTTCTCGTCTAAATTAAACTAATTAACCTGAGACTTCAGAAAATTAATTTTGAATTAAAAAAATAATTTTCGTTAAATAATACATATACTTATACAAAGGCCGAGACAAAGGCTAAATATTCAAATATGTTGTGTACAACATTATGCGAAATGGGGGAGGTGAACTAAACGTGTGTGCGCCAGACGAGTTCAAATGTTGAATATTTTTCAAGAATAATTAATGATTGCCAAGGATGTACCGATGACCTTTGAACAGATTTGGTGGGTGAAATAAAAAGAAAAAAGGTGCATCCTGCCATTGTGTCGCGCAAAACCGTTATTTATTCACCGTCGATAAATACATAATTTTTAATATTGTTTATTAAACGATTATAGTCTTCTTTTTTATAAACTCCAATACGACGTTTCCGTTCAGAAGTTATACAGGTTAATTAGAAAAAAAAATTCTACGGCCTGTATATATATTTTTCATGCTATTTTATGGTAGTTGATGTATATTTTATGTTTTATTGTAAACGTACCTTCCGTAAATATATAACTGCATATTTCAGGGTTCAAGTGTCAACAATAACTGTATAGTCATCGCCAAAAATATCAATTCAATTTCAACAATTTATTATTATTTTCTTTTGTTACACATTGAGCATAATATGACACTTTAGTTTTAGGTTTATAAGATTAAACGTTTATAGATATTATAGATCGTGTAGGATTTAAATTTTATTGTTATGCCATATTAAAGAAAAATAACTAGCAATTAGTTCTGTTGTAATAAATAATGTAGGTCATGTTACTGAAGAAAACAATCGTATTTTTCATTATTATTATTCTGCACAAAATATCCGCTCGCTTTTTTGGCGTGACAAAATATATGACTCGTACAGTGCATAAGCTAACGTTTTAGATGGGTGGTTTATATTTAAAACAAAACTCAGGAGTTATGGTTTTAATATCGGTTAATTTATCGGAGTAAATAGAAAACCTCGTAGAAAACGGATTTGTGCCAGGGACCCGTCGTCGCTATCGCTATATTATGCTGTATATAGTTTATGCATTTACGTGGTGTGCACCTATGCTCGTGGCATTTCGTTTTTTTACTGTTGTCTATTATTAAATAACTGAAATATTTTCACAATAATAATAGTAAAAGTAATAATAAATTGGTGTACCTATTCTAAAAACAATAGGAAGTGTTTAAATTTAATGACAATTTTTTGGGGTCTATTTGAACACTCTGTCCACCACACGTAACGCGTATGTGTGAAATACAGAGTATGATCTTATAAAAAAAACTTTATAAGTTGTTATTAAAATAATTTTAATATATCCGATGACGGCACGTGAAAGCTTCTGAAAATTATTCATTTTATTTTATTAATCATAATTATTATGGTCATTGCCATACAAGGTTATTGTACCTACTGCCGAGGTCCATAGTTTGTGTCTGGTGCCGTCACTGTATCCCGAATGTTGCCTAATCTATATCTACTGTCCGATGGTCAGGAGTAAAGGGTTGTACGTGGGGTCCTGGGTTTTTGGTACGTGCGCGAGTGGGTCGGCGTTAGTCCGTCTGGACGCAAGCGACCAATAGTAGTATAGCACGTGCGGTTCATTCTTCCTTATTGCACATCATGAACGATGCGACACGTACTACGCGCTTATATGCATACACTGCCCCAAAACACAATATGACGCGTCGTCAACGGAGGGCGTAAGTATGCAGTCCGTGCGAAGGGGTGTAAAACTCTTCGACCGAGTGCCGTTGAGGGATAAGATGAGACGATAATAATGATTGTGCTAATAATAATAATAATAATAATAATAATTGTGTATACGCCTACGGTGGTTGACGTGCCTGTATAGGTGTAGTTACCTATAATATATCTATAGTAAACGTACGAGGGCTTAGCGATTGCCCAACGCGCGTATTACGAAACCATACGCGATATATCCACAGCGCCGATACCCTCTTTTTTAAATTTTATTACGTGCTAGCTATTGTATAATATAAATTATTACGTATCACGGGGACTCGTTTGTCGTATCGGATTTTTGAATTTTCTGCCGCTGTAAAATATTTATATGTGTGTAACTGTGTATAAGCGTAACACACGAAATAAAATACATATTAATGTGTATGATGTATTTATAAAACTACCTATATGGTGTCGGTATACCACGATTGGTGCAGATTAAACAGTGACCACAGCTGTATGTGTGTGTGTGTGTGTGTGTGTGTGATGAATACGCCGCGACACTTGGTCTTCGCCGTGTTCATAATAAGGTAATCAATTTCTAAAATCGCATCGATCATCATCCCCCACTGTATATAGTGTCTATTACCGCGAGCGCCCCGCAGTGCAGTGCGTGTCGGGTTATATTACGAGACGTATGCCGTCGCCGTTGGTTATTATGTCGTATTTTGACCGGAGTCCGCGCGAACTGCTCTAGAAAACAGTGGCGTAGGAGTATATATGAGTAAACTGCAGTCGCGCGAGGGGGGCCCACGCGCCGTCCTCTGTTTAGGACGCGACCTACGTTCGAAACGCTCCCACAATTTACGCCCACTTACGCCCACACATCGACAACAACCATGATAATAATATAATAACGCTCAAATTTGAAATAATTGTTGCCCTTGTATGTTATGTATACGCGTTTCGCGAAAACCAACCTGTTGTTTGCGCATGTGTCGACGATATAATATTACAATTTAAAGTAGGTAGGTACGCATAACGTGTGAGTTGTCATCACGTCAATGAGAATGATTAGATATTTAGATGTTTCCGGTAAAGTGTTCATCGAGTTCTAMAGGATGAGTTAGCTTCCGAATAGCATTTGTGTTTGAACAGTATTTGGCTGATTGATGTCTAAATCTATACGTTAGCGCCTGCAGCGTAAAATTTCGTCGTGGATGTTGCGAAACAGAAAACCGCGTACCTCTAGTCGAATTTATTTATGTTATATAAATAACTATTATTTTCGCGATGTTCCCCTAAAACTCTATCGATTCTCACGTGTGTGATAGGGTAGGGCGTAGCCTGTGGTTGGTGTCGAAGTGGTGGTGGTGGGGATGGTAGCAGTTGTGATCGATGACCTCGGTACGATATGGATGTGTCGTCCGTGTGTAAAAATCGAAATTACGTCGCGATTCACGGCCATCGGAAAACACGAAAGCGGGTAGTAATGGGTCGGGTGGTTAACCTGTTGGCCCGAAGAGCAGCAACAGGTAGCATATATATTTATGTATACATCATGTATAGACAGAACCGCGCGCGCGCGCGCACGCCACCCCTCTACCACTCGGTCGGCCACGTTTTTGCGAAAACTACCCTCGTCTTAGTATGTTTTACGTGCGCTCGTCGTATTTTATCGATTACCA